AACAGCCAAAATGTCCTAAAGGCCTCTGATTCTCTGGCCGGTAATTGAACTCAGGCAGCTTTATCTGAGTAAGAGTTCTTAGTCCTCCCATCAGGAGTCCCTGGAGGCTTGTCTCCCTGTGATGAATTTCCATGGATGATCTGTAGGGCAGAAGCTCACTGCACTCCTGCATCCACTCACTCCACTTTGGAGCCACTCTCTCTCTTTGTAACACAGGGTTTTTCCTGAGACTTGTTTGGGAATTTTCAGTTCAGTTAAGTCACTCAGTCATGTCTGACTCTTTGCCACCCCATGGACTACAGCCCTCCAGACCTCACTGTCCATCACCAACTACAGGAGTTTACTCAAGCTCATGTCCATTAAGTCAGTGATGCCATCCAACCATCTCATCCTCTGTTGTCCCCTTCTCCTCGCATCTTCAATCTTTCCCAGCATCAAGGTCTTTTCCAACAAAGGTCTTCACATCAGGTGGCCTAAGTATTGGAGTTCAGCTTCAGCATCAGTCCTTCCAATGAATATTCAGGACTGACTTCCTTTAGGATGGACTAGCTGGATCTCCTTGGTCCAAGGGACTCTCAAGAGTCTTATCCANAGATTTTTCAGGAGGCAGGTCAGATGGTCTAGAATTCCCATCTCATTAAGAATTTTCTACAGTTTGTTGTGATCCACATAGTCAAAGGCTTTGGCATAGTTAATAAAGCAGAAGTAGATGTTTTTCTGAAACTCTCTTGCTTTTTTGATGATCCAGCGGATGTTGGCGATTTGATCTCTAGTTCCTCTGCCTTTTCTAAATCTAGCTTGAACATCTGGAAGTTCACACTTCATGTACTGTTGAAGCCTGGCTTGGAGAATTTTGAGAATTACTTTGCTAGCGTGTGAGCTGAGTGCAACTGTGTGGTAGTTTGAGCATTCTTTGGCATTGCCCTTCTTTGGGGTTGGAATAAAAACTGACCTTTTCCAGTCCTGTGGCCACTGCTGAGTTTTCCAAATTTGCTGGCATATTGAGTGCAGCACTTTCACAGCATCATCTTTTAGGATTTGAATGAGCTCAACTGGAATTCCATCACCTCCACTAGCTTTGTTTGTAGTGATGCTTCCTAAGGCCCACTTGACTTCGCATTCCAGGATGTCTGGCTCTAGGTGAGTGATCATACCATGTGGTTACCTGGGAACTTTAGGGTGGTGATATTTATGTCCATATCAGAGATGGTAATTTAAGACACAGAGATGAGGGATCAGATAACATGGAGAAAAGAAATGTCCTTGGCAGTTGTTACCAGCAGAGTGTTCTAGCAGAGGAATTTGTTCTGCTAAGAGCTCTTATTATAATCTTTATTTTCTCTTTATTTATAGGAATTTTCGCTTGTTTCTTGGTTTGTTTTATTTTCCCAGATGTCAGGATTCAAGGTGAGCTTTATATTTTCTTTAGGACAACACAAATGTACACACTCTGTGTTGACCAGTACAGACCCTCACATCCTGATGCTATAGGGCGGGATACTCTTGGCTGAGCTGAAGTCACATCTTGGTTATTATCTTTTGATGACTATGGCCCTTCCAGGTAAGAAAGGAGGAACCTGGATAGGACCAGTTTTAACAATCCATGACCCTAGGACTAGACAGTATCTAATGTCTCTTGCAGTTTAAACAGTTCATAGTTTCTGCATATGAATCTTTCAGATGTGCTGTATGAGAAAACACCTGTATTCCAAGAAAAAATTAGCCTTTGTCCTACTGTTCTCTCTGCCTTTCTTTCCTCTATAACTCTATGCGTCCCGAGGTTTCCACCTAAGTCAGGGTTTTCCTGACCACCGATAGTCTCCAGACTGGTTTAAATGTTTCTGCTGTGAGTTCCTGTCCTCCCTGGAGTCCCCCACTTTAGAGAACTTGTTGCCCCATAGTAATTACTCCTTTAACTACCTCTCTTCCAAGACACCCTATGGAAGTTCATAGAATGAAAGAAGTTCTTGTCCCTTTTTTTTTACCATTGTTTTTCCTGGTCTATATATTGTTCTTGAGCTGGAGGCATGAAGGGTTTGGTGATGCAGAGAGTTGCTATGGCCGCTTTTCCTGCTGTTGGCTGGATACTGATTAAATGGGCATCTGCAACCCTACCTGAAGAAGGCAGCGCCTGTTTTTATTTGGTGCTTTTTCTAAAAGACGGGTTTTGAAGTCAGTGACTACTCAGACTCATCAAGCATCAGAGGTGAGAGTGCTCTTGAATGATGTCAAATTAGCCTGCACCAGGGACTGAGGATCCTTTGTCTCTCTCCCTAATGGGACTGGCATCTCAGGAGGCAAGGTCTTGCTAGCCATATGTGTAATAAGCTTCTCAGGTGAGTCTCATACACTCTAAAATGTAAGAAGAACTGATGTGAATGCTTCCAGTAAGAGAACTTTCATAAGCATTAGTGTATTTTTATCTCAAAGCAACTTTGTGAGATAGAAGGTATTATTTGGATTTGATGAAGATAAGTGATGCCAATCCAAGTCTTTGCTTTTCATGCCTGATATAATCAGCTAGTAATATTATTTTATAAAATACTGGTTGACTTCAATACTGTATGATATCTTCAATAGTCTATGAGTTCTAAGCTCACTTGAAACTGATGATAAGTTTCTGGTCCATTAGAGTTAATAGAGATTTGGCATATTTAAGAAAGGGTGGTATATGTAGTGATGCTAATTCAGATGTTTAGGGGGTGAGTGGTTTTGACATGAATCAATCTTTAATATCTGAAAGAGATTACATTTTCACCCTATATTATAGTCTTTGAGCTTGCTTTTTTTAGATTTTTATTTTTATTGTTGAAAGAACACCAAGAATAAGTTCAGCTATCTTCACACATTATCAACTATACAATAAACTATTGATAACTATGGGTACAATGTGTGCAGTAAATTACTAGAGCTTATTCATCTTGCTTAACTTAAATGTTATGTTTAGACTCACTTTTAATGGGCTTGTTCATTTACTCATTAATGTGGTGTTTTGGGAATATTTACTATCTACAGGATACTTACTCTCTACTATCTACCAGTGTCCTGTAGATTAGTAGATTAGTGTCCTATAGATTAGTAACGAGAACAACATAAATTCCAGCTTTTTGCTCATGGATCTTATAGTGTACTAGGAGAAACAGACATAAAATAATAATTTGTCACTTTCAAAGCTGACTCTAGCCACTCTGTGAAGAATAAGTTGGATAGGCCAAGACTAGAATTAAGAAAACCAATTTTCATGAACATTTAAAGGTCCAAACTGTGGACCAGATGAGGCCGCTAAAACACAGAGAAATTGAGGGATGCCAACTACACCTGTGGTGTTTCCCTCTTCCTCCATCTCCAGTTGGTACCAGACATATCTTCTACTGGTTACAGCCCCCACAACCACTCACACCCAACTACCACCACCGCCGAGATCATGCCCACAGCTGTGTTCCCAACAAGAGTCATAGCCACACCTCACAACCACAAAACCACTTCTGGTGAGAGCTACAGCTGTGCTCGCAGCCATGGCCTCCACATGCTTTCTGACAGCATCAAGCTCCCTTCCCGAGGAAGAGATGACACAGCTGACCCTTGAGGCTTCCACCGAAGGGCCCATTCTCCGCGCAGGTACCTGGCTCACCTGGCCATTCTTTTCCTCTGTTCAGATGAACCTTGGATCCCTTGGAAGAAGTTTCTCCTACTGAATAGGGCAGCTCAGCAACTTGCTCTAGGGTCTGTGTGTGTACATATATGTGTACGAGTTTGCCAGGGCTGTCATAACAAACACCACAAACTGGGCAGCTTAAACAACAAAAGCTTGCTTCTCACAATTCTGGAGGCAAGGAGTCTGAAACCAAGGGGTCAGCAGAATTGGTTTCTTCTGAGGCCTTTCTCCTTGATGTCTGTCTTCTCCCTGTGTCTTCACATGATCTTTCTCCTTTGTGTGTCTTTGTTCTAATTTCCTCTTTTTGTGAGAACATCAGTCATATTCAAGTAGAGCCCATCCATATAACATCATTTTTACCTTAATTATCCCTTTTAATGTGCAGTCTCCAAATATAGTCACATTCAAGGTCCTAGGTGTCAGGGCTTGAACAAATGAATTTGTGGGTGGGGGCCGCACAATTCATTAAACAACTCTGTGTGTCTGTGTGTGCATAGTTTCATTAAGTTGTTCTTTTACATTTCTTTATGGTTTCCTTTTGTTTGTTGCTATTTTTTTTAACCTTTGTACTTTTGAAAAGTCAGCATTTTGGGTTCTCCAGTTGCTCTCCCTCCAGGAGACTTGGAGACACTTAGTAAAGAACCAGGAAATGTTACCCTCGGTCAGAAGAGTTCCATCCTGCCAGGGCTCAACTGTTACTTAGGCATTAGAGGAAAGATCTCTAGATGCCTTAAAGTATCCCTTGATAGACTGATTCTACTTGTCTTTTTTCTTTCTTCCTTTCTCTCCCTTCCCTTCTCCCCGTCTGTCTCTCTCTATTCTTCCTCTGTCCCTCCCTTCCTCCTGAAACCTTCTTAATTCTCTATCTTGGAATTCTCACTGAGTCACTAGCTCCATTAATTATGGGGACTTACCAGAGCTCCCACCATCTTTCAACCTCTGATTCTGAGGTAAGATTTTCAGAAAAGAATCATGAGATAGCTTGAAGACTTAGGCATTTTGGCTGCCTCAATAGGGGCTGGATTAATTTAAACAACTTTATAGTATTGAATTGGATAATTCCATTATACTATGAGTAGTGACCTAAGGTCCATGAATCCTAAGCCAAATTTTATATGTAAATTTTATTCCTTTGGTCTTTAAAATCATCATCTTAGAATACAACATTTGCAGTTTTTCACCTAGATTCTAAAAATTACTGAAAATCATTGGGAAAAAAATTAAACATAGAAGAGTAAAAAGACAACTATAAAAATAGTTCCAAATCCCACCACTCAGCACAAATACATTTTAACTGCATTTATCAAACTTTTCTCTCATCCAGAATCAGAAAGAGTCCTCCCCAGGACTTCTCAGAGAAGCACAGAGGCGATTGCAGGAGACACTGCCTTGCTCACATCCAAGGGTACGTGGATATGGTTCTCTTTCTTTCCTCTCCCCTTGGATTGAGGGGAAACACTGAACAGAGTGTCCCCGAGTCAGATGACTAGGGATGACTGTTGGGTCCTGTGAGTCATGAAGCTGTCCGGGGACACACTGGTGTCAAGACTGTGTTTGTGGCTTATTTCTCCCTGTGGATTTTAGAGAGTGAGGGAGACCATTGACTTGATTTGTTTGTGCAGTTCTCCATGGTAGATCATGTCTAGAATATTTGCCTGTCCACTCTAGGCTGGGTGGAGCTCAGCTGTCTCATCCCATTTCCAAATACACTGGTCTTCTTCCTTGAAACCCCAGAGGGTGAATTCACTAGACCCCTGGACTCTGTATAGTGGAAGGAGCGTTCTTTCATTCATTTGTCCTTTCCTCCCTCTAGCCAGACTTTTTTAGGTGTTTACTAGGGTCCAGAGGCAGAGAATATCCTGAAAATAATTTAAATCCTTGGAGGTGCTAGAGGGGACTGCCTGGGTTTGATTATCAGCTGCTACTACTTTTCCCTAGGGGTCTCTGCCTCGGTTGTGTAACCTCATGCATATGAAATTTAGATGAGCACCTGGCTAGCTAGTAGACAAACAAAAGGTAGTTGTTACCTTAGTGAAGCTTGTATTCAAGAAGAGGAAAACAGACTTCTATGAGGTAAGTAAATCAATGCTTGTGAGAGTGGAATGTAGGGGGCAGTGAAGTAGAATTCATGTGTGTGTTCTGGTGTCCACTGCATGATGCCTCTTCTCTGCTGTGACTTTGGCAAAGTTCCTTAATCTCTCTGGGCCTTGGCTTCCTCACTGGTCAAATGGGAATAATGAAACCCCAGTCCTTACCTCTTTCTGGGGATTATATGAGACCGTGCATGTAGATCACATAGAACACTGTCTGCCATGCACTAAATAAAAGGTTTACTCAGTAAACCTTTGCTCTTCTTCTTTTTTTTTTTTTTTTATGACAGAAGCCAGTTTAGGGCAACTGTGGGGCCCCCCAGATAGGAATATGGGCATTACCTAAGTTTGTTTTCTCCTTTTCTTTTTTCCCCCCAGTGTCTAAAGTTTGGGTTCTTCGTTGAAATCCCAGACTTTGATGCAGGAAGTGAATGACTTGGTGACTTCTGAGTCAGGAGATAAGGGGACTGTGCTGCTGTGAGGGATTTGCCTTTGGCCATGGGAACAGTCTGTCACCTGCCTGCTTGTCTAGGACTCTGCTCTTTGGGGAGCACTGTGGTCATGGCCTACATCCTCCTGCAAGCTGGGATAAGAGTGAAACAGGCTAAAAGCATCAGCGCTGCCTCCTTCCCTTCTCTGCCTCATTTCTGAAACCAGTCTTGGGATCTAAAGCTAGGACTGCTAGTAGGAAAAACCCACATTCATCTTTCAAAATGTTACTAATTTATTTTAAATTATACAGACAGTTCAAAAATGTATTTTTGTTAGATAAACTTCTTTAAATGTAGAAATAGCATACTCTTTGACTCCCTGTATTTAATCTCAGTTTCTCCTCAGATCAATGATTGATATTAGTTGAAAGTGATCACTGTTCAAATCCTTTTCTAGTCCCTGATGTATGGAGTTGTAGAAATATACAGCATTATATGTAAAGCTCTGAAATATACTTTCAGCCTTCTGCACGTTTATTCACCTAACATTAAACATTGGACCACGTTCTTTATTGGTCCATGTAGAGCTTCATTACTATGTTAATTTGCTGTGTAGTCTTCTGTACTTCCCTGGAGGCTCAGAAATAAGGAATCTGCATGCAATGCAGGAAACACAGGAGACACAGTTTCGATCCCTGGGTCAGGAAGCTCCCCTGGAGGAGAAAATGGGTTGCCATTTCCAGTATTCTTGCTGGGAAAAATCCCATGGACAGAGGAGCCTAGCAGGCTACAGTCCAAGGCGTTGCAAAGAGTCAGATAAGACTGAGCAACCGGGCAGCCATGCTGCCTCACACAGGCCATTTTTTTTTTTTTACTATGGNAGGATTATCATTACCATCTTTCTAAAAAGGCTTTGATTGATGGACTGAGGAATTTAGATTTGACCCCAGGGTCCTAAGAAACTGTTCATGTGTTTGGAGAAGGGAATGGCACTTGCAGCTCTGTTTTTGGAAATATTGTGCTGGCAAGACTGTGGAAGCTGTATTGGAGAGGAGTAGGCCTGGAGGCAGAGAGGCTCCCCAGGAGGCTCCTGCTGTTATTCAGACAGGAGAGGGGTGTGTCAGCTAGAGTGATGGCAGCAGTAACAGCAGAGAAGGGACAGAGTCAGAGCCATGAGGACTTGGGATTGAGATGAGCTGGTGACTGGAGTAAGAAGGAAGGATGACTGATTCTCTGTACTTGGGATTGTAGGTGATGTGATGGGTTCACTGGTAAAGGAACCCCAGAAGGAAGAATGAAAAATATTTGGGTGATCTTGAGTTTGAATTGTCCTTGGGTGATGTCTAACAGGAAGTTGGAAATGTGGGGCTGGGTGGACCTACAGATGCCTTGGTGGGGATTGGTGTCTGATGACTGGCACCTCCCTCTGATCAAATAATCATTACTGTGATGATACAGTGTAAGTGCTGAATAGGGACTTGCCACTATACCAAAGCTTTCATATGTAACATCTCACAGGGGAGCATTCTGGACTATCAATATTATTCTTGGAGTTATTGATAATAAGCAATAGTTACTTGGTGCTTATTATAGGAAAGGGCTGCGTTTGATGCTTTCAGAGCACTATCTTATTGTGAACCCTTGTCCAGATGTTTGGGGTGATTCTATTATCACATTCATTATAAAGGAGAAGAAACTGATATTTGTAGAGATTAAAACATTTGCCAGAGTTGGATATGTGACATTTCAAACTGAACAACCCTCACTGTCCTGAGACCTGGAATTATTTTTCCATAGTGCCATGACAGTGCCGGATGCACCATCCAGGATCAAACATTCTCCCATCCAAGAAGACTAACAGTGAAAAAGAAGGAGGTCTTCTCCCCTCTCTTTCTTCCTTTGGTTATACAAATGTAACCCACAAGTACTTGAGGCAGCGCAGTGGTCACCTGTCCCCTTGTAAGTCTTACAAGCATCCTATTTTAATGGATCACTTCTCATCCCTCAGGCTCTGGCTCAGTTTTTCCTGTGCTGAGGCATAAGGAACCTGAGCTATTTGGAACCCCTGGAAAGGCACCTAGTGGCGTCCAATCTGATACCATCTGCCTGGGAGCGTACAAACCAGACAACCTTCTCTTTCCTTCAGGCCAGTAGCATCATGCACCCTTGGGTAGCCATCCTGGGCCTCCTACTCCTGACAGGTAGGTGAACAGGTGGGCTGTGCTTTGGAAGCCCTGAGGATGGGGGAATGTGGCGAGTACGTAGGTATGGTCAAGCAGGGTAGATTTCTAGGGCATTGTTTAAAAATAACGAGGTCAACTAGTGAACAAAGAACAAGAATTATAAAATCTATAGCTAGATGAACAAGGCATGATACAGTGCATATGCATATGCTGCCATTTGTGTTGTTCATGTGTGTGCATGAGCTACTCATGTGTATGTAGTAAACAGTAACCATTGTTATCATGGCATGGAAGGGAATGGGAAGAAGAAATGGGGATGGATGGGAAGGAGACGAGTCCTTTATTGTACCATTCTGTGCTTTTTTACTTTTTTAAACATATGCAACCATTTCTTTAAAAAGAAAATATTTTATCTTCCCTCTTTTCGAGTGGCTTAAGACTCCATGCTTCCAATGTAGTAGATGTGGGTTCCATCCCTCAATGGGGAACTAAGATTCCTCATCTGTGCTATATGGGAAAATTTTTTTTAATAGATAAAATATTTTAATTCAAAACATTCTATGAGAGAGGGGAGAAAATTAGTGATTGATATATCCTAAAATTTAAAAACAATCTTTAGAGGTGGAATATGAGTAAAAGTACAATTTAAAATTATACTTCTATAACAAATTTTTAAAATTAATATGCATTAGCTTTGTGATCCCAAAATGATATTAAGCAAAATTAAATATTATCAGAATTCCAGTGAAGAAAATACTGTTATATATGTAACAATGAATGTCTTATTCCCAAAGCACTTCCCAGACTCACAGCCCAGTTCTAAGTATGAAAAGGGAAAGTGAAATTGAAGTTGCTCAGTTGTGTCCGACTCTTTGCAACCCCGTGGACGGTAGTCTACCAGGTTCCTCCATCTGTCCAGGCAAGACTACTAGAGTGGGTTGCCATTTCCTTCTCCAGGGGATCTTCCTGGTCCAAGGATCGAACCCAGGTCTCCCACATTGTAGGCAGATACTTTTTACCATCTGAGCCACCAGGGAAGTCCAAACTATGATAAGCTATTAAATCTTATGTTTCTTTTAGGAACTTTTTGCCAATGCAGGGTTTTTAAGTTGCTGCCACAGGTGAGAGTTTTCCTGCCTGTTTGTTTCTATGAGACAAAATTTAGTATTTTACTGAATATTCTCCAATTTTTTGGTTTTTCCTGTGTAAGTGGACTGTGATTCATTGCACATAACTCAAGAAAAGATCCTTGCTTGAATTTTTTGGAATGACCCTAAAGCCCATAAGATTCAATTTCTCCTAAAAGTATTATAAACCCATTTTCCTAAAAACTGACTTCTGAAGAGTTTACAAGACTTCTGCCTTCTAGTCAATGACATTTAATGAAATATTAGACCTGTTTTTTTAAATTTAAATAAGAGAGGGTATTATGAATTGATTATGTCCAATGGCCATTGGAAAATTCAAATAAAAATTGAAAGTCAAAACTTTGAATGCAATAGAATTTTTAAACCAGATTTTAGTTAAGACAGTGATTGAATCTAGGAGAAAGGAAAAGCCACCAGTGTGTTTCGCATATTTAATAAACAGACACCTGTCAAATACAGGATGAATATCCACATACTCATGCATTACTAGATGTCATTTGTTTCAATCAAATCTTTTGGAGAAAAGTTTGATCATGTCCACCAAAAAGGCTGAACATATATCTGACCTTTATCCTGATATTTTCTCTAGAAAATCTGTCCTATTGGGAAGTATAGGACATTTTCATTAATTGAAAAAAATGTTTCTATGATCTTTCATCTTCAATCATATCTAGTAAATAGTGATGCTGCTGAAGAACATGTTAACATGGAAATTTGCTTATACTAAATTCTAAAAACTCAAGATACAGTCACATAATTTCAAACCAAATAAGCTATATGAAAAAAAATTAAAATTATTAAAATTAAAATACTGAGACCTCATGTTCTCATGCTCTGGTTTCTCTTTATTTACAGATGGTGTAACCTCTTACCATCGGGTGACTGGTGTAGCGGGTCAGTCTGTCAGGCTACCCTGCTCCTATACTGGAGAAACCACAACTGCATGCTGGGGCCGAGGGGCGTGTTCTTTGCTGGGCTGTGGAAGTAACATTATCTGGACTGATGGATACAAAGTCATTGTTCGGAAGGACAGACGTTATCAGCTTAAAGGAAATATCGGTGAAAGGGATTTGTCTTTTACCATAGAGAACACTGTCCCATCTGACAGTGGCTTGTATTGCTGCCGTATTGAGAAAAGAGGGTGGTTCAATGATATAAAAATCATTCAAGAGTTGAGTATAAGGCCAGGTGAGTTTGTCTTCCTACTTCCTTTGATCACTTCCTGTAGGTTCATAGAGATAAAGAGATTTCTGTTTGATATTAACTCCCTCTTTCTTTAATAGAGAAACAGGAGGTTCTTATAGTTTTGTTCTCTAATAACTCTTAAGTGGAATAACTTGTATTTGTGTGGAGTGAAATATTAAGACTAATCTTGTTTCAGGATCATAGGCTAGAGCATCTTTCCAGTCAGCATCTCCTAAAGCCGATCTTCAGGTGTTCTAGTTGCTTAATGAAAATGCATTCACTGTTCCACACTGAGGTATAATGAACATTTCTATGGAGCTAAATTTATTCCACTTGAAGAACTGCCCTTTTCTCTAGATCATATCTTAAAAGAATTTTTAAATGTTTTCTTAACATTTTAAGACTTACAGAGAATTTCACATATATAAAGTAGATATTTTGACAATAGTCAACACAGTCTTGTTGCATATACATTGTTCAGTTTAGTTCAGTTGCTCAGTCGTGTCCAACTCTTTGCCACCCCATGGACTGCAGCACGCCAGGCCTCCCTGTCTACCACCAACTATAGGAGTTTACTCAAACTCATGTCCATTGACTAGGTGATGCCATCCAACCATCTTATCCTCTGTTGTCCCCTTTTCCCCCCACCTTCAATACTTCCCAGCATCAGGGTCTTTTCAAATGAATCAGCTCTTCGCATCAGGTGGCCAAAGTATTGAAGTTTCAGCTTCAGCATCAGTCCTTCCAATGAATATTCAGGATTGATTTCTTTTAGGATGGACTGGTTGGATTTCCTTGAAGTCCAAGGGATTCTCTAGAGTCTTTGCCAATACCACAGTTCAAAAGCATCAATTCTTCAGCGCTCAGCTTTCTTATTAGTCCAATTCTCATATCCATACATGACTACTGGAAAAACCATAGCTTTGACTAGACAGATCTTTGTTGGCAAAGTAATGTCTCTGCTTTTTAATATGCTGTCTCAGTTGGTCATAAATTTTCTTTCAAGGAGCAAGCNAGACTGACTGAGGTGGAAACTGGGTCTTGTTCTGATGGGCGAGACCATGTTCAGTAAATCTTTAATCCAAGTTTCTGTTGGTGTTGTGGGGCTGTGTTCCCTCCCTGTTAATAACCTGGGGCAAACTAGGTGGAGGTAATGAAGATAATGGTGACCTCCTGCAAAAGGTCCCATGCTCACACTGTTCTACCCAGTGCCCCCAAGCTTGCAGCAGGTCACTGCCAACCCACGCCTCCCCCGGAGACTCCTGGACACTCACGGGCAAGTCTGGGTCAGTCTCTTGTGGGGTCACTGCTCCTTTCTCCCGGGTCCTAGTGTGCACAAGGTTCTGTGTGGGCCCTCCAAAGAAGAGTCTATTTCCCAGTCCTGTGTAAGTTCTGGCAGCTCTGTGGTGGGGTTAATGGCGGCCTCCTCCAAGAGGGCTTATGCCATACCCAAGTCTGCTGCCCCCAGAGTCCCTGCCCCTGCGGCAGTCCACTGCTGACCCATCCCTCTGCAGGAGACACTCAGACACAGTTCTGTCTCAGTCTCTGTGGGGTCTCTGGGTCCTGGTGCGCACAAGGTTTGTTTGAACCCTCTGAGCGTCTCTGGCAGGTGTGGGGTTTGATTCTAAATGAGATTTCACCCCTCCTACCATCTTGCTCGGGCTTATCCTTTGCCCTTGAACATGGGGTATCTCCTCAAAGTTGTTTCAGTGCCATGCGGCCGCTGCTCCAGCACCTACCATCTTGCTGGGACTTCTCTGCCCTTGGAAGTGGCGTATCTCCTCAAAGTCACTCCAGCGCTGCGCAGCCGCCGCTCTACTGGAGTGGGTTGCCTTTCCCTTCTCCAGGGGATCTTCCCAACCCAGGGATCAGCCCAGGTCTCCCACATTGCAGGTGGATTCTTTACCAGGTGAGCCACAATGTAAGAGCCTATATAGTTTCACCCCTTCCCTCTGCTCTGTCTTGGATTTTTTGAAATAGCTTTCACCCCTCGTCATTAAATCACTAGTTTTAAATTTAAAATAGCCTTATTGCTCTATGAGAACATTTGCATCTCAATAGCTGTTGACTTGTGGCTTTTAAAAATTTTGTGAAATTCAAGAAACTAGGAAGTTTACATTTTTCCATCTTGAGGTAGACATTCTAATTTTCCTTACTGTTTGATGAAAGGATCAAGTTCTTCAGGATTTCCTAGTTTCTGGTGCTCTTTCCTAATAAATGTTCTCCCACTAAGATCTTCCATTGACAACAGAACCCAATGCCCCTAGCCTTCTTGAGCTATGTCTCTTGTTTAATTTAAATGAGCTTGATATTACATTACAATCTCCCATCTTTTGTACTTGGCTTGTGTCCTTGAAGGAAAGTAAAATAAGGTCAAGTTTGATACAGCAAATAGCTGACTCTGAGGAAAGTACATCTAGGAGGTAATTTAAGGAAAATAGGCTGGTGCTAGAGACACAGGTAAGGAGGTAGCATATGGAGAAGAGATTATTTTTAGAGTTGTAAAATTGTATGATTGGTCTGGCTGAATATTTTTTCAATGATACAGAAAAAAATTAGTAGGGGACTTTTATAGTGTTTAGATATTCTTTAATAGATGAATATTTAAAGTCGTTGCCCTGTACATTGGGAAACTGGTCTATAACTGAGCCAAAGTGACTCCACCTCCAATCCAATTCTTTGCTTAAGTTTTCTTGCACTTTTCACAGAATGAGCTTACTTTCCAAACTTCTGTTAAGGCTGTTCCTCAGCATCTTCTTCTACCCTTAGCTTCCTAGCTTCTTCCTCAGGAAATATTTACAACCAAGGAAGCCACATAGTTAAACAAGCCAATTCAATTTCCTCCTTGTTAGAGTCCTTTATCAGATTTTTTGCTTACTTCCTTTTTTTTGGTCTAGATTTGATTTCAGACTGAATGGAGGGGATTGAGATTGCTCTCTTCATCAAAACCTCTGACTACACTGTTAGACCAGAGTCAGCAAACTGTAGCTCCAGGGTCAGGTCAGATTATAAAACAGGCTCACCAACAGCTTTACAAATGAAGTTTTATTGGAACATAGCCATATCCATTTGTTTATATTGTGTCTATGGTTGTTTTCACACTGACATATTAGAGCAATTACCACCAAGATCTCAGGACCCCCCAAAGCCTAAAACATTTACTAATGCCTTATACATAATAGGACTCACAAATACCTGTTGAAAACATTTTTCTTTTTTAAGGCAAAAATTAGCTAGTGCCCAAATTAAGTTGGCTTGGATCCCTCAAAATAGTTTTCACACCAATTTTCCCCTATTTAAGTGACTTGAGGTTCCAATTCATAGTTAGTAGAGTTGAAATTTAAGAATACTTCTGTGCAAAAAGATGCCTGGTAAGAAAAAAAGTACTTATTTTTTATTCAACCCTATAATTTCTTCTTTTGTGTCAGGCACTGTGTTTTGGCTTAATTCAAGTTCCAATTCTTTCTCTGGGTAACTCTGAGGATTTCAGTAAGTGGTTTGGACTCCTATACCATTTCAGACTCTGGAAAGAGTCAAAGTTATTACCTGTTGTTATTATCTCTTAGGTAGAAAGGAACTTTAAAATATCTAGACTCTCTTCTAACCAGATTCAAAATGCATTTGTGTCGTTGAGTGTATGTGAATGGTTTAAATTAATCTGTATTTAAGATGTAGTTCTGTTGGGAGAGTACCCCTGAGACTGATCAAACTGAATGCTGTTTACCTGGTAAATATTTTGGTTCTCGGGAACTACTATTTAGGTCCTCGGTCTACACCACTGAGAGGGTAAAGACGGTTTCAGGTTCTAGACATTTTCTCTTCCTCACAGATGTTTTTGGAGATACATAGATTTGGTCTGCACAACTAGTCTTTACAAAGTGCTTCAATACAAATCCCACATGTCAGTTTTTTTTCTTTCGGCACCTTCTGAAATTTCATCCTATCAATGCAGCTGTTTCCTTGCTGTGACCATGTCTTCACTCCCTTCTTGTCACAGATTTTAGCTGACCAATGATGAGAATTTGGAGTTCATGGGAAATAAATACTGAGTTCTACCTGGGGACCGTCTCCTTGGTCATATTGTTGCACAGGCCCAGCACACTGCTCTTGTTACCTGCAGCTTATTGAATCCTTGCTTTCATGTTAATTTCTAGCGCCAACTACAACCACAACAACCACAACGACCACTACTCCAACAGCTACCACCACTACCACTACTCAAAGAGAAATGACCATGACTACTACACCTCGAAGAGAAACAACCAAGGCTATTAGTCCAACAACGACTGAAACTAATCAAACAAAAACTGCGATTCCAAGAGCCACCATCACCACTACTCCAATGACAACCACCGCTATTCCAAAATCGACTACCACTACGACTCCAGCAACAACTACCACCACCGCTTCAACAATCACCATGGCGACCACTGTTCCAATGACAGCGAAGGCTCCTACCTCTGCCCTTCCAATGGCGACACCCACAGAGGGCTTCCGGCCAGGTAAACAGATGTGCCTCTGACCCTAGAAGGCTTTAAAGGAGAGGAGATTGACTATGCAGAGCACTGTGTTAAGTCAGGTGTACAATCTAGGGCAAGGATTCTTAACAGGCTTCCAAACCTGGCTCTACAGAGTCTGTGAATCCCCTGTCCCCTGTTATATTCACCTTTTACATCTATAAGCATTTACAGAGTGAAGGAGACCTAAGGCTTTTTATCAGACTCTCAAGAAATTCATTAATACAAAAAAAAACCCCATATCACTGATCTTGGACATCTAAGGAGGATGACTCATTTGAACACAGACTTACGAGGAAAAAATAAGGATGCCAGAACAGGGCCTGGTGAATGAGATTCTGCCCTTTCAAGGAGCTCTGAATAGAGATCATTTAATCCATTCTGAAGCCTAACCCAACACATGAGGATAAGATTTCAGTGTAGTTAATGCTTACTCTATTTCCTGTGCCAGGAAACATGCTAACTGCTTTACAACTATTAACCCACTTAATTTTTATGACAACCCTACCCATTGTCAGTGTGATTCAATCCTACTTTATATTCCTGAGGACTGAGGCACAGAGTCTGAGTTCATTGTTGTTTCTGTTCATTCATATGAATAGAAAATGGTTGAGTCTAGATTGTGCCCATTAATTTGAATGTTGGCCTTTGCTGCATTCTATACTGAACACAGAGTTTATGTTTGGATGAGTTTGTTCTGATCTGACATCCTCACTGGAAAAGCTTTCATACAATTACCCTGCTTTTTTCAGGGTGTCAGTGACTTACACATTTTGCTTCTAACCTCCTTTGTTCATGTATCAGAGAAATGCCATTTATACTGATGACAAAGTAAATATCAGATTTAAGTATTATGCAATTTAGAATGCATATATTTGTTTTTTCCAATTCAGGCTACAGTGTTCTTACTTCAAATTTCTGTTAGATAATAGTTTAGGTTTAATATAAATGGAGAATATTTTTGAATTATAGGTGGGGAAATAACTTCTCATTCTGAGGACATGTTTGGGTTCAAAGTTTCTCTTTTTAGGATTAAAAAGATAATTTTATGTGGAGATTCTCAAAGCCTCCACAACCCTTTGGCACTTTGAAGTGGCTCTGGAACTGAAGAGTAACAGAAATATCACAAACTCTTAGCCAAAATGTCTGAGGGAACACATTGACTTCCCTTCACCCCTGTTGGTCTATGTGTGTATTCAGTGAGGAGGGAGGGATCTGAAGGATTTTCTTCAAGTTGAATTTGGAAGGAGGTCTTTAGGTTGAAAGTGGGATTTTTACAGCCATAAAAGTTTGCAAGAAAAATACACTAGAGCATCTGTTGACTTTTTCAATATTGATTTAGCTTAATAGTTTGTGCCTGCTGAGGTGGCTGTATTAGAGCTCCTGTTTTGAGGACATGTGTAAGTTATGGCCTTTGTTTAAAGCAGAAGTTCAGAAGGAAAGTGTTGGTGCATATGTTCATGTGACCTCCTAGAGGGAGTATTAGTTGAGTCTTGTACATGTCCTAATAGCTTCCTAGTGAGTTTGAGTTTAAAGTTGAACTTTACAGTATAGAAAGGATGTTAGCACTGGAACAGATCTGTAGCAGGGGCATTTGTATTTACATTCATTCCCTCTCTGTGTTCTGTGCCCCTGTCCATGCTAGTCTCCTAGAATACTCCTGAACTGATTGGCAGTAAGGTCCTAGGAGAATAGGAGAACAGGAAAATGCCCACAAGGACCAAAACTACAGAAAGAAGTTAATAACAACAGGTCTTCTGCACAGATTTAAGTTGAATGAGTACTGTGATCATTCGATTTTCTTTTATTGTCCTGTTCTTAATTCCTAAAGAGAGCCATATCCTGCTACAAATTTGAGCATTAGACAAAAGCTAAACCAAAAAAAAGTGGAAAGGAATTCCCCCACCACCACCATTGCCCAAAAATTCCCTTAAAAACAATTTTTTTCGCAGACAACAGATGGTTGCTCAGAAGAGGAGAGGTGGTGCTGCTGTGTTGTGTCGTTGGTGGTGAGGTGGTGGGAAGACCAATGAGAGGCAATAGGGAAAGTCTAGGTTTGGGAACTCTTGCTCAGCCAGTGCCACTGCCTTGCTCTAAAGTTCTGTGATGCTCTCAGAGGAAGGGATGTAGAAATCTTATTAAGAGGCAACTGGTCAACTTTGCAGGTCAGGTGAGATGCTTGATAGAAAATAAAGGAGAGATTTCAAGAAAGGAGAAAGGAAACATAGCCCCGAGGATTCTCAGTAAAGCTTTCTGGTGAGAAATAGAAGATGAGTCAGATAACATAGGAAATCAGTCTTATGAAAGGAGTGACCAGAACACAACTGCAGAAGGAGCCAGGGTACCAGAAACATTGCTTTGAGGCTTATTACCAAGACTCAGACAGTGGACAGTACTGTCTCCATAAAGTGACTTCAAGAAATTGAATAATCTCAGTATGTTTTCTGTGCTGGTCAATGTGTACATCTCCCTGGAAAGATGTAGATGGATAATTAGGAACTTGAATGAAGTCAGGAAATCAAGATCAGGGTTCTTGTGAACAAGGTGAATTAGTGCCAGCCCCAAGGCCATACTCCACAGAATTGAAATGTCATTGGTATGAATAAAAGTTTGGTATGAATAAAAGCTTAATTGAGTGTCCTATATAAGATGCTCTGTTGATAGGTTTTAAGAGGATACTAAGAGTATAAAAGGAGAAATCATTCTGTCTATTGATAAGCTCTTCAGATCATTATCTAGGTAATATTTATTCATGGTAATGAAATACATATACTTCTATGTGTGTATTCAGTGAGGAGGGAGGGATCTGAAGGATTTTCTTCAAGTTGAATTTGGAAGGAGGTCTTTAGGTTGAAAGTGGGATTTTTACAGCCATAAAAGTTTGCAAGAAAAATACACTACAGCATCTGTTGACTTTTTCAATATTGATTTAGCTTAATAGTTTGTGCCTGCTGAGGTGGCTGTATTAGAGCTCCTGTTTTGAGGACATGTGTAAGTTATGGCCTTTGTTTAAAGCAGAAGTTCAGAAGGAAAGTGTTGGTGCATATGTTCATGTGACCTCCTAGAGGGAGTATTAGTTGAGTCTTGTACATGTCCTGATAGCTTCCTAGTGAGTTTGAGTTTAAAGTTGAACTTTACAGTATAGAAAGGATGTTATCACTGGAACAGATCTGTAGCAGGGGCATTTGTATTTACATTCATTCCCTCTCTGTGTTCTGTGCCCCTGTCCATGCTAGTCTCCTAGAATACTCCTGAACTGATTGGCAGTAAGGTCCTAGGAGAATAGGAGAACAGGAAAATGCCCACAAGGACCAAAACTACAGAAAGAAGTTAAGAACAACAGGTCTTCTGCACAGATTTAAGTTGAATGAGTACTGTGATCATTCGATTTTCTTTTATTGTCCTGTTCTTAATTCCTAAAGAGAGCCATATCCTGCTACAAATTTGAGCATTAGACAAAAGCTAAACCAAAAAAAAGTGGAAAGGAATTCCCCCACCACCACCATTGCCCAAAAATTCCCTTAAAAACAATTTTTTTCGCAGACAACAGATGGTTGCTCAGAAGAGGAGAGGTGGTGCTGCTGTGTTGTGTCGTTGGTGGTGAGGTGGTGGGAAGACCAATGAGAGGCAATAGGGAAAGTCTAGGTTTGGGAACTCTTGCTCAGCCAGTGCCACTGCCTTGCTCTAAAGTTCTGTGATGCTCTCAGAGGAAGGGATGTAGAAATCTTATTAAGAGGCAACTGGTCAACTTTGCAGGTCAGGTGAGATGCTTGATAGAAAATAAAGGAGAGATTTCAAGAAAGGAGAAAGGAAACATAGCCCCGAGGATTCTCAGTAAAGCTTTCTGGTGAGAAATAGAAGATGAGTCAGATAACATAGGAAATCAGTCTTATGAAAGGAGTGACCAGAACACAACTGCAGAAGGAGCCAGGGTACCAGAAACATTGCTTTGAGGCTTATTACCAAGACTCAGACAGTGGACAGTACTGTCTCCATAAAGTGACTTCAAGAAATTGAATAATCTCAGTATGTTTTCTGTGCTGGTCAATGTGTACATCTCCCTGGAAAGATGTAGATGGATAATTAGGAACTTGAATGAAGTCAGGAAATCAAGATCAGGGTTCTTGTGAACAAGGTGAATTAGTGCCAGCCCCAAGGCCATACTCCACAGAATTGAAATGTCATTGGTATGAATAAAAGTTTGGTATGAATAAAAGCTTAATTGAGTGTCCTATATAAGATGCTCTGTTGATAGGTTTTAAGAGGATACTAAGAGTATAAAAGGAGAAATCATTCTGTCTATTGATAAGCTCTTCAGATCATTATCTAGGTAATATTTATTCATGGTAATGAAATACATATACGGCAGGGTAATGTCTCAAGGCCATCTTTGAATATTTCTCTAAGAAAGAGTCAAAGGGTAATTCCTAATTTTAGTTTTGTTTGCTATTTTTTGCTTGAGTTGGAAATTTTCCCCCATGAATTGAACAACATTCTCCCATTCTTATCATTTCAGTACCTTCTTTATCTTCCCCAACACAGGCTACAGAAACCAAGCCTACCACCCCATATGAAACAAATAAAACTTGCTCACCATCGTACTCTTGCTCAACAGGTAACTTCGTTTTCTTTCCTCAAAGCCTGGGAGCTTTCAAATTTTGATAAATATTAGCACACTGTTAAGAGTACACATTCTATAATAACACAGGTCTGACTTGAGTACCTACAACGGCTACTCCAATTAGCTATATACAACTTGAACAAATGTCTTACCCTCTTTGAATCTGTGTTTATCCTTTGTAAAATGGATGGAATTTTACTGATGTAGAATTCTTTCAAAGATTTAAATTAGATAAAGATTGGAACATAGTTAAAAGGTAAGTGATATATAGACTGGCAACTATGACTGTCACTTAGCGTGTCCAGAAATATGCACACCTGAGCAACTTTAGGTAGCTTGTAAGATTTGGGAACATCCACATGTGTAACTGCATTTCTCCAAATGAAATGAACCAGCCTTTTCTTTAAATTTATTAGTAGGTTTAATCCCCTGGACAGAGCCTTAAAAAGCTTAAATCCAAATTAATCTGGTCCAGACCAGACTAGTCACTTGTTGATGTTTCCCCTAAGCTCCAGAAACTACATAGAGCCACAAGGCCCTCCTGCTGCCTTGTTAAGCTCTCATTTCACATGGACACTTTGAGATGGGTTGAGAACATGGGCAGGAGAACCAAAGAGGCATGCCCTACTAGGATTGGGCTATTCCAACAGAAAAGTCTCCCTGCTCTCCCCAGTTTTGGAAAATCCATATTCTTTTCAGATGTAAGATTTGTCTTGTCTTTCCTGTGATGGCAAAAGGTGATGCTGAATCCTGTCATCTTTCCCAGCTAACTTGCTACCTGTGGTGGTAAATTTGGGGCTGTGGCACATGCTGAACTCCTTTGCAATGCAGAGCTGGCTTATGTGTCCTTGTGCCTGTGAAGCATTCAAACAAGGTCAGGCTTTTCAAGACTCCTCAAGCATATGACTCATCATGCTAAGGAGCTGCCAATCTGTAGCAGACCCCCAGTATGGCCTACCTTTTTCCAATCATCCCTAGAAGCTGGTTAGTAGAAAATAGGCCTGCAGTAGTATGCACAGAGGGACCAATTCAATTGGGAATCAATCTCTAAAATATGCCATTAAAACCTGGTCAAGGTAGAGATTTTCAGAATGGAACAGACATTGGAACAGCTGTGTCCCCACAACTTCTGTGACTGCTGTCATCTTGGCAGTGTCTCTGAGGTTCTCCAGCCAAATCCTCACAATGCCCAAGTCAGACTTCAGTGGGTTAAAGCCTCACAAAACAAAGAATTTTAGTATGGAAGGAATTTTGGTCATCATATGGCCTGCCACCCACCTTTTGACAGACAGATGTACCAGCAAACTGTCACTTGCTGTGGTTGTTCATTAGCTACGTCATGTCTGATTCTTTGTGGCCCCGTAGTCTACAACATGCCAGGCTTCCCTGTCCTTCACTATCTCCTGGAGTTCACTCAAATTCATGTTCATTGAATTAGTGATGCCATCTAACCATCTCATCCTTTATCACCCTTTTCCTTTTGCCTTCAGTCTTTATCAGCCTCAGGGCCTTTTCCAGTGAGCCGGCTCTTCACATCATGTGGCCAAAGTATTTGAGTTTCAGTCCTTCCAATGAATAGTCAAGATTGATTTCCTTTAGGATTGTCTGGTTTGACCTCCTTGTAATCCAAGGGACTCTCATGAGTCTTCTCCAGCACCACAGTTCAAAAGCATTGATTCTTCAGTGCTAGTCTTTATGGCCCAATTGTCACATGCATAAATGACTACTGAAAAAAATCAAAGCTTTGACTCTACTCACCTTTATTAGCAAAGAGATGTTCTGGTTTTTAATATGCTGTCTAGGTTGGTCATAGCTTTTCTTCCAAGGAGCAAATATCTTTTAATTTCATGGCTACAGTCACCATGCACAGTGATTTTGGAGCCCAAGAAAATAAAATCTGTCATTGCTTCCCTTTTTTCTCCTTCTATTTGCCATTAGGTAATGGAACTGTATGCCATGAGCTTAGTTTTTCTTTTTTTTCCTCTAAGGCATTTTATTTGTACGTATTACATCTCTAGAAAAAGAATCCAAGGATTTTCCCTCCTGTATGTTTTCATCTTGCTTCTTCATGGTCCATGATGCCAGCTGAGGTTGTTAGTACAATGAAACCAAACTGACGGGATGGGAGCAGGTTATTCTGCCATTTTTCTAGATCTTTGAGTTGCACATCAAATCTGGGGCTGATCACTCCACACTTATTTAGCCTGCCTGTGAGGTTCACAACAATTTTCCCAGCCCTGTGATCGTCAATGATTTCAAATTCACCAATGTAACCATGTTTAATCATCATTGTTAAAAACCTGATGATGACCTTGGAGCACGGCCGAATAAGGACCTGGCATTTGCCTCTCTTTCGGCGTTGTTGATACTCTTGAGAGCATCAGCCAGGACATTCATGCACACCATTCTGGCCGCATGGAAAGATGGAAAGAGGAAGCTTAGTTTTTCAAGTGTTGAATTTCAAGCCACCTTTTCAATCTCCTCCTTCACCATTATCAAGAGGCTCTTTAGTTTCAGTTTCTGCCATTAGAGTGGTATCACCAACATATCTGAGGTTGTTGCATTTCCCCTGGCAATCTTGATTCCAACTTGTGATTCGTCCAGTCTGGCAGTTTACATTATTTACTCTGCATACAAGTTAAATAAGCAGGATGACAATATGTAGCCTTGTCATACTCCTTCCCCAATTTTGAACCAGTCAGTTGTTCAATGTCCAGTTCTAACTGTTGCTTCTTGACCAGCATACACATTTCTCAGGAGACAGATAAGGTAGTCTAGTATTCCTGTCTGTTTAAGAATTTTTCACAATTTGTTGTGATCTACACGATCAAAGAAGTCAAGATCAAACCAATCAATCCTAAAGGAAATCAACCATGAATATTCATTGGAAGGATGGATGCTAAAGCTGAAGCTCCAATACTTTGGCTACCTGATGTGAAAAGCCGACTCATTGGGAAAGACCCTGATGCTGGGAAAGATTGAGGGCGAGATGAGAAGGAGACAGCAGAGGGTGAGATGGTTGGATGACATCACTGACTTAATGGACATGAGTTTGAGCAAACTCTGGGAGATGGTGAATGACAGGGAAGCCTGACATGCTTCAGTCCATGGGGTCACAAAGAGTCAGATATGACTTAGTGACTGAACAATAACAACATAATCAAAGACTTAGCATAGTCAATGAAACAGAAATAGTTTTTCTGGAATTCCTTTGCTTTCTCCATGATCTACCTAATGTTGGCAATTTGATCTCTGGTTCCTCTGCCTTTTCTAAACCTAGCTTGGAACACCTGGAGGTTCTCAGTTCATGTACGGCTGAAGCCTAGCTTAAGGAGTTTGAGCATAACCTTGTTAGCATGTGAAAGGGTTATCCAAGTCATTAAGACCTTTTTGTATCATTCTTCTTTTGTATCTATCATCATTCTTGCCAACGCTTTTTAATTTCTTCTGCTTCTGTCAGGTCCTTACTATTTCTGTCCTCTATCATGCCCATTCTTGAATGAAATGGAGAAAGGGAAGACGTACCCAACTGAAAGGGAAAGCTATATCCAACTGAATGTAGAGTTCCAGAGACTAGCAAGGAGAGATAAGAAGGCCTTCTTAAACGAACAATGCAAAGAAAACTGTCATACATTATCTCATTTAATTCTTTCAGGGCAGGTTTATTTCTTGCCATTGCCAGACTAAGGAGCCTGTTCAGTTCTGTTTTGGAGACAGACAGCCTTCAGTACAACTGCCAGTTACTAGCTGTGTACCCATGGGCAAGATGTTGCATTCCTCACTGCAAGTTTGTGAGGAATGAAAAATAAGATGTTTGAAAAGTTCATTGCATGGTGTCTCTCCCCACATTGTTCCTATTGTTATATAATAGCATAATAGTAATAGCTGATATTTGTCTAACATAGTGTTAAGCACCTTATATGCATCATCTAATATGACTGCTTTATGAGATGGGTGCTATCAACAGCTTGTAGTTCTAACTCTTACCCTAGCTAGAAACATAAATATATACATTTATGTGCATGCATACATAAATGTGTATGCAAAGGACCTCGATCAAGGTCACATTGTTGAGGGACATTGTCAACATTGAAGTCAAGTTTTATCTTACTCAAGTCCATGCTGCTTTTAGAAAATCACCCATTCTATACCTGAAACACTTACCTAAGGTTATAATATAAGTCATGCACAAAGCCTAGACTGTGGATATTGTCTTTGGCTCTTCAGAAAGTACTGTCAGAATAATTAAAATGTAAACACAGTAATGTAACATGTAAAACTTTAGAGTGGATATGGTGGATTCATTTTCACTGCCATTGCAAAATGACATGACAAAAGTTTTGTTAGTAGTTAAGGATTTTCTAAGACCTTCAGTATTTTCATTGGATGAGAATGTAACTTGTGTAGTGGTTATAAACTGAAGCTCTTGTCCCGTTCTATAGTTGGAAACTTCAACCATATCAGGACTACTTCCTCGGCTGTAAAATAGGATTAAGAAAATTGGTATAAGAATATAAAGGTCTTGGTATAAACAGATACTCAGTAAAGAAAGAATCCTGTGTCTGACCTATATGTCAGATAGGTTGCTTAGGAAGGTCAACAGTATATGTTCTGTGTAACAAAAGGCATATTTCAAAACAGTATTAAAATTTGAACATTCAAAATTTTAAAGCATGATATTCTTTTATATCAAGATTTTAGGTACATAGCATCCATGTGTGTGTGTGTGTGTGTGTGTGTTAGTTGCTCAGTTGTGTCCAGCTCTTTGTGACTCCATGGACTGTCCCACCAGGCTCCTCTGTCCATGGAACTCTCCAGGCAAGAACACTGGAGTGGGTTGCCATTCGCTTCTCCCGGGGATTATCCTGACCTGGGGGTTGAATCCGGGTCTCCTGCCTTGCAGGCAGATTCTTTATGATGAGCCATCAGGAAAGCCCATATAGTATCCTTAGAAATTCTGCATATATCCTCATATTACATTCGTTTTGGGGCTGATGTAGCATATTTTCTAAAGCTCTTTTGGATTAGCATCTGGGCACACTAGCACATAATGTAGGAGTTGGATGATGCCTGTTTGGGGTATCTGAATGCATTCACTCACAGTTTAAATGTAAAGCCAATGTAACATCTGTTTTGAAAAGTATGGTTCTGCTGTTTGTTGTGCAGTGGCCTCTGAGCACTCACTGGCAGTTTCATAGCTGTCATGAAAAAACTGGTTACCTACCTTAAGTGGTCATCTTTAACCTAGTTCTGAGAATGGGCCACTATAACTTCTCAAAAATTGTAGGTAAACATTCTGTGAACATATACTTGTTCCCATAGATGGAAAAAAGGGGGTCCGTTTTGGAAGGGTGGGTGATGAAAATGGTTAAGAAGCATGGGTTACAGGTTAAATTAAATAATGTTAGTTATTTGATTTAACTCCTGCAGTGCCTACAGCATTTGGCCATATGATTATTCAAGTTTTTATTCATTACCATAAAGCAATGTGAATATATTTGGTGTTTGCAATGAAAATTCAGTATTTTTATAATTCTAATAAATTTTCCTTCTTGTTGAGCAGATGGGAATGACACTGTGACAGAGTCTCCAGATCCCCTTTGGCGTTGCTATCAAGTTGTAAGCATACTCCTTCCTACTTTATTAGCCTGATTCACTTGTATGTTTCCTTGGAAGCAAGTTACATTATAAGTCTTGTTCACAGTTGATTATTTCTAATTCATAAAATAAAAGAAGAAAAGAATTTGACTCTTAAATAGGGATGCTTTAATTAATTAAAAAAACTTATATAGATGCACTATTTTGTTAGAAATATCCAAAAAGTGGTATTTTACTCCACACAATCACTCTACAAAATGTCTCCTGGCCATAAAATTAGAAAAAAGAGTGAATTAATTCAAGGATAGTGAATTAACATTACATATCAAGGAAGACTTCCATCATCATCAGAGAAATGGCATGCCTTGAATTGACGTGGTGGAATGGGGGCCATCCCAACCAAAAATATTATGCAAATCAAAGTGTGCTTGCTTAAACTTAGGCCTCCTAATATCTTTTTCCAACCCAGTTGTATCCTCCTATTGAGAAGTTTTGAGGCCACTACTGAGTCTTTCTATATGTAATCCTCCCCATTTGTTGCTGGTGTTTAGTCACTAGGTCTTGTCCAATTCTTTGTAACCCCATGGATGGTAACCTGCAGGCTCCTCTGTCCATGAAATTTTCCAAGCAAGAATATTGGGGTGGGTTGCCATTTCCTTCTCCGGGGAATCTTCCACACCCAGAGATCAAACCCATGTCTTCTGCTTGGCAGGCAGATTCTTTACCAATGAGCCACTTATGAAGCCCTGATCCTCCCCATATGATGACTTTTTAAGGTCCTAAGGTCTTGAACAACATTGTGATTCTGTAGGATATTCTTATACATAGTTTGAGAAAAAATATAAGGAGCTGTAGTCTCATGATGTTCATTAAAGTCTGATCTTTGTAGTAAGTCAGAAGAATTTACCAATAGAATATTTTCTTTTGGCTCACTTGGTTAAAAAACTTTTCCTTTTACTATGTGCAAGTAACTGTTAGAAGCAACAAACAAAAAGAGTTTAGGTATGAGAGTGATCCTGATTGCAAGTGGTGAGAAATTGCAACATGGCCATTGTAAGAGAAAGTCAAGCTCAGGAGAAGTGGAGTTATTTAGTGTGAGATCAAATGGCTTTATGTTGCATACGTTACTGACAATGATAACACTACCATACAGGAATGATATAAAAGATTTTAGCCACTCTCACCAATCAGCTATGGGCACTGATTGATCTGATGAATATGGATAGAATTTGTTTATATCTATTAAATAGCAGAACTGCCACTGTGTAAATGACTATAATATTGTTATACAGCTAGATTTATGTTGGATTTTAAAAAAAAGAAACAAATATTCTGAATGGTGGGAATTTTTTTTTTTTTTTTTACCTTTAGGACAGGTATGTTTAGCAACAAGTAGAATCATTACAGAAGCAAGTCCACAATAGGAAGTAGCAAAATTGTGGGCTTTTTGTGTCTTGACTCTGAAGATGTCAGTGTCTCCCAGGTATCCTGAAAACCAAGGAGCATATATTTTGTCCTAGTAGTAAATCAATTTCCTGAACTCCGCCTTAAAGAGAGAATTGAACAAATACATGAAGATGTATAAGAAAAGATGTTCTTTGCTGCTATTTATAATCATAAAAATGTTTCAAATAACCTTAATACTCAAAATAGGGATTAATTAATTAGTCAATTAAACATGCCCACTTATTGCTATTAACAATTGTTGGCACCACAGTGTACTTACTGACATGAAAAGACAGTGTCAATTGATAAGTGAAAAACTAACTTTTAAAATAATGTAGGGACTTCCCTGGAAGCCCAGTGGGTAAGACTCCACACTTCCAATGCAGGGGTTTGCAGGTTCCATCCCTGGCTGGGGAACTAAGATCCCACGGGTTGTGCAGTACAGCCAAACAAATGTGTATATATATATTTAAAAACATCAGAACTAAAAAATATATCAGAACTAAAAAATGTGTCAAACTTACATGAGAAAATTTTTTTTTGTTTTACTATCATAGGAATAGTATATATGGGAATACCTTATTCACTTTTAAAAGTATTTATAATTTATATACTATAAAACAGGCTCATTTGAAATGTACAGTTTGAGTTTTGACAAATGTATACACCTTTATAAATACCATCACAAGCAAGATATACATTTCCACCATCCCCAAATATATTTGAATTTTAAATTGTCTTAGAATTTCACCGTATGATTATAACTTCAGATCATTTGGTCTCACCCCTCCTGATAAAGAACTAGCCAAATGTTAATAAATGTATCTGGGTAATTTATTTTAGGAAGTGTGTTCTACCCGTAATTCTAATAATCTGGTTTTATTCTGTCATTTTTTATCTTGTTTTTGATCTGCTGATGCTTCTCTAGGGGCTGGTACAAGGTCCTTGGATGAGCACCAACCAGGGAGTCTCCACTGGAATCTCTGTTGCTCTCTTGGTAGTATTGCTCATGTTTGTGGTATTCTGGATCAAAAAAAGTAAGTCACCCCAGGACTGTGCTCACAGGAGTGTTCTTGAGCCAAACTACTTGTAGCCCTACATTCTATATGATTTTCGTTTCACATAACTTCCTTGGTTCTTACCTTGTTGTTTTTTATTTTTATTTATCTTAAAATTATCTTCCCAGTGAAGAGAAACATGATACTTAAGTTCTCCACGGGAGAAATTAAATATGGAGAATTAAGGATTGGTTAGGTAGAGTTGGGATTTGGATATCAACAAGCCAGTGTAATATACAAGATTTGTTCACTCCTCCTTTTCCCCTTCCTTCAATAACCAATTTTTGTTCCTATAGAGGGTGAAATTGCTGAGAGTTTTACAACACCCACTTAACAGAGGAACCAAATGAGCCATTAGAAGGATACATGATTTCAGGACTAAGAAGAGAACAAAGGGTTTCTCAAGGCAGCCACCCGGGGCATGCTGGTGCCCTTCCACCAGTGTGCGTGTGTGTGTGCGTGCGTGTGCGTGTGTGCGTGCATGTGCGTGTGCGCGCGCACGTGTGTGTGCGTGCGTGCGTGTGTGCGCGTGTGTGTGTGTGCGTGTGTGTGTGTGTGTGTGTGTGTAAAACCTGTCATCTATAGGAGAAACACAACCTCCCATTTTTTTGCAATGAAATATGATTATATTAAAGTAAGCTAGGTCATGTGGGTGAATGCATTAAACCTAATAATCACAAGATACTTTCCACTGAGGGGTTTATTTGACACCTAGAGATTCAAGAAAAGTTATCTGGAGTTATCAGGGTAGAGCCCAGATTGATTTGTTTCCCCCTCATTTTAAAAATATTCTTTCCTCGCAATTAATTTTTTCAGTGTCTGATATCTGTACCTATTTTTCTCATATTAAGGTAATAACGGTAATAATATACTTATTGGGAAAAAAATCTCATGAACTCTTTAGCTTATATGTTTAATTTTCTCTTCATTTCTTATCCAATTTAGAATATCTTTGCCTGGATAACAAGGTGGAGCTACTACGGTAAGTTTGAGAGAGTTAGTGTCAATGCCTTTTGGTATTCTTATTCTATTAAAAATAAGGAAAATGCCTCTGCCTCTCTCCTCTTTTCCTTCTGAGTTCTCCATTTTGTACTCTGGATTCTGAAAAATCTAGCATATAGAGGATTTCCATTGCTGTCCAACCTTCCAGTGATGATTTTAGTGATGTGATGAGAACACAGGTCTGTGTTTTCTGCAAATGTCCTAGAACTGTACAGAAACAGCACCTGAAACCAGACCTTTTAGAGCAAGAAAACTAAACCAGATTTTGTTTCATGGGCCATTTGAGTGGGTTGTTTGATTTATTTGATTTCATTCATTGCTTTGTTTATTGCATGTCTATTGAATCCCTATTATATTCCAAAGAGATGAGCAGAACAGACTGAAAACATGTAGATAAATGAGCAGGGCACTTATAGAACTTCCAGAGAAATACCATAGGGAATACAGAGCAGGGCTATAGGCTATGTGAGTGAGCCCCAAAGGAGCAGAAGGCAGCTCTGCAAAGATCTGGAGGAGGACACCTCCAGGCTGAAGACCCACAAAGCTGGGATATGCCTCCAGTTCTCCATGGTCCCACCATCCCATATTGTTCCATACCCAGCCTGCTATGCTCAATTACATTAGTTGTGTGGCCTCAAAAGCATTTGAATTTACAGCTGTGTAAATCTACCCCACTTCCCAATAAAAAGTTAAATCCTCTTTGTATGCATCCCTGTAGTCATTTGCCCAAACACCTGCAAAGGTGGGAAACCACTATCTACTTCCAAATCCAAATAGCCTACTTCATCTGGTCCACCTTGGGCTTTAGGCAAAGTCCTTCTTTGATAAAATCCATCCCTCTTAAGCCACCATCCATTATTCCTAGTTCTCTTTCACTGGATGTTTGTACACAGTCTTTCCTATACTTAAGTTAATCACATGAGCCAGTCCACAGAACATGCCTTGAACAATGACCAACATATTGCAACTGTTCCATAAATGTTGACCTTTATTATTGTAGGCATGCCCTTCACATCAATAAACCTGTGAGAGAGACACTAGTATTAGTCTTAGTTTACAGTTTGGAAAACAGGTTTAGAGATGTTAAGTGATATCAAAAGTCACATCACACAGCAGTTAAAAGACTCCGAGTGTAGATCTCCTAGAGTCCAAACCTCAGACTTATAGAAGTTTTTGACTATCTGCTTCCAAAAATGGAAGAAAAATAAATACTCCCTATAGGCAGAAAAGAATGGAAAATAGCATCCTCTTAGTCCTTTCACTGTTTAGATTTTTTTAAATTTTCACTTTTTATCCCCTAATTAGAAAAGAAAATATTTATTGTAGAAAATACCTTATAACACACACAAAAAAACAAAATAAAACAAAGCTGAGCATTTCCTCAACATGTAATTTTGGGGGCAGCTATTAATTTATCACATTGACTTATTTTGAACCACAGACACCTAAACTGTTTCCACACATATGTGACTAATCTGTTTAAAGATCAGAGCTGAGTGAAGATTCAGTGCATTTAATACCATTTCTAGGCAGGCTTAGGTAATGAAAATAGTGACTGCATACAAGTTCTAAGAAAGTAGCTGTATCAAAGCCTCACAAATTACCTTTTGATTACCCTTGATGAGTGAGTGTACAAGCTATAAAAATCATCTAACACATAGCTTTCCAATTTTGACTGTTAAGACACAGTAAGATTTTTGACTCCATGATCTATTACACACTTAGATGAAGCAATGCTCTTTTATTATATCCAGTATGCTCTGATATTTTTTATGCTGATATATATTTATCTTAAATATAGACATAGATCACTAAATGGATTTAATTTAGCCTTCTCTAAAGGGTCACAGTCTTCATTCAGAAAAACACCAACCAAACCATTCCCTGGCCATCTTTGTGAATGTGCATCCTGGTTTAGTACTTCATCTTGATATCTGATATTTCTCTTCTTACATTTTCAGTTTTTGTTTTCTGTTACATAAGTCTCTTGAAGGAGACCAGTCTGAGATTTTGAAATGACTGTTGAGGATTTCTATCACTTTATTAAACAGACTTTCCTAAAACTTCATATTCAGAAAATCTGGAAGCTTCTATTGACTTCATAGGCTGTCTGGATGATGCTCTAGGAAATGCAAATACCCAGTATTGCCTGAACATAAAGAACTGTGCTGCTCATCCTTGAGAAGTGCTTTTCTCTTAATCATGTTATTCTTTCTGCAGTGTGATTCCCTTGAAGGAGTCTCATGTTGGAGCTTTGAAACATGCAGCTCTGAAGCCTATCCAAGGAGAAGATAATGCCTACATTATTGATGACTCTCACTAAGTCATGGGCCCAGATTCTAAGGCATTATGTAGAAGACAGTGCCCAGATATCACCATGTCAGAATCCCTCAAGTAGCAGGACAATTTTTCCATCAGTTTCTGATGACATTCCACGCAGTCAAGAACATTGGGTAGAGTGAGTCTAGATCATCTGTGCACAATCAACCTCTGTCACATAGTCCTAATTTTTTTACTAAAACTGAATCAATCTTTCTGGTCATTGCAGAAATCTCTCTAAAACATGAAAGGTACACTTTAGAATTGTACATTCTCTTTAGACCCTATGAATCCTGTTATCCATTGAGAATTCTCATTGAGGACACAGAAAACACACTTTGACCTTGGTTAATAAAGCTGTGGAAAGGAGCTGACCATAACTTAAAATCAGCAAATTTAATTTGGTACTTAAAGGACTTAACATGGAAGCATTTCATGATTTTTTTTTAAATTGACTCCAAATGTTATATTCCTTAGGACATCAAGGGTTTCAAATCATGGGGAGTGTACAGGTTTCTCTTTACCCATTGGGAAAATAGAAGTGAATGTGATTTTGCCATTATAGGTAGATCCAGTTTCTCAGGGCTCTGGAAATAGAAGGCGTTAAGTGCTTTCCCTGGGACCAGAATGGTATTTTAGCAGTTAGAAGAAGGTAGGGTAGTGAGTGGTCCTTGGAGACACCAGGGTAAGAAAATCAATTGTCATGTGATTTACACTGTTTCTGCTGCATTGGTGCTACAATTCTAGGTGTTTATGTAGACAATTGGTAGGCTCTGATGGAATTTTTAGAATGAGGCAAGGCAGAAATAAATACAAGGAAAGAAAAGAGGGAGGGAGTAATAAAAGAGGCTTTCTGTTTGGGAAAAGCCAGTTTGCAAATATAATAGTCTTCTTTGATCATGTTACCAGTTTCCACCAAAAGGCTAAAACATCCTCAAACCACTTCAGTTCTTAAAATTATATTGGAAAGATAAAGGGTCTTTTCCATATATAATCAATTCCTGTGTTATATCTTTTGCACAACTCAATTAAATTTTTGTTTTGTTCCAGAAGAGTTCGTCAAAGACAAAAAGTAAGGCTGGTTTTAGTCACTTTGAAGTATTTTTGCATCAACAGTTAAGAAGGCTGGAAATTAATTTCACTTTGCATAAGCCCTGAAATAACTCATTCTTGAGGTTTTTGTTTTTGGTTTTGGTGGGGGGAAGGGTAGTGGTGTTCAGAGCTGCTCACACCAAAGTGGTCCATGAGGGCTGGAAGGTTGTTTTTGAAGGCAATGTTTTTTAAACTTCTGCAGAGTTGTAGAAAATTAATAGGACCTCTGAATAAAGGTTACGTGGGCAATGAAGAGGTGATGCTAGTGGTAAAGAACCTATCTGCCAATGCAGAAGACATAAGAGACGTGGGTTCAATCCCTGGGTTGGGAACATACTCTGGAGGAAGGCATGGCAATCAACTCCAGTATTCTTGCCAGAAGAATCCCATGGACAGAGGAGCCTGGTGGGCTAGAGTCCATAGTGTTGCAAAGAGTCAGACATGACTGAAATAACTTAACAACATGTATGCATGGGCAATGAAGATGGCTAAACATTGCAGACTAGTTTTCGTAAATGGAACCACACTGATCTGGTTTAAAAAATTATGTTCCAACTACGATGTTTGGTTTTTTTTTTAATTCAAGACAACATGCACAAACATGGAGATGTCAAATTAAAGCCAAGATTTGTAACTTGTCTGGAAACATTGGGCAACATCCATATGCAGCCAGAGCCCCATTAGATGGCACCACATCCCTCAGGCCTTGCCTCGCCTGCAGCCTCATGTTTGTTACCTGCTTTGTTACTTGTGGGGCTTTGAATTTATGATGTGTGCTCCCTTCTCCAAGTCCTTCCTAAAGTTTGTGATGGCACATTACAAGTTCTGGAAATCTGCTTAACTTTGTTTAATCCAGCATTTCCAAAATTTGTTGGAATGCCGTGAGCACAGTGACTACTGGCATACCCAGTAGCATTCTAGGAAACAAGACCCGGGGCATGGGAGAAGGCAGGTGGTACTCAGAATTAGAGACAGGCCCTGAGCTCTCATCCTAAAGTGCACCAGGAACGTTGGATGACATTAGAGCAAATCATAGTATATTTTAAAATGAAGTATAGTTGATTTACAATGTGTTTTTTTTTTTTTTTTTTTNGGTACAGCCCTGAACTCCAGTTCCCAAGGAGCTCCATTCAGTGGGAAAGAAACCCCAACACCATCTGCTCTGGTACTGATGATGAGAAGGAAAAAGCATAACACACTGCTGCTGCCGCTGCTGCTAAGTCACTTCAGTCGTGTCCGACTCTGTGCGACCCCATAGACGGCAGCCCACCAGGCTCTGCCATCCCTGGGGTTCTCCAGGCAAGAACACTGGAGTGGGTTGCCATTTCCTTCTCCATTGCAGGAAAGTGAAAAGTGAAAGTGAAGTTGCTCAGTTGTGTCCGACTCTTAGCGACCCCATGAACTGCAGCCTACCAGGCTCCTCCGTCCATGGGATTTTCCACTGACAGAGCTGAATTTCTCAAACATGGCATTTGGGTCCAAATAATGCATTGTGGGAAGGCACTGTGCAAGCATTATAGGATTGCTTATCAACATACCTGGCCTCTATTTGCTAGAGAATATATGTGTGCTGCCCCCCCAACCCCCCCCAACATAGTGACACCTGCAAATGTCTGTAGACATTACCAATGTCTCCTTAGAGGAAATAACACCTTGGTTAAAAACTGCTGTGACAGAGGATCCTTGGAGGGCATGGGGATGTGGGGAATTACCGTAGCTTTAACTGGGTTGGTCAGGAGCTGCCTCTCGGAAAGTAGGGACTCTGAGTTGAAACCCAAGTGGTGTGTGGGTGGCAGACGTGTGGAAGAAATCCAGCAAGTGCAAAGGCCCTGAGATAGGAAGAGCGTGTATATGACGAGGGAGAAAGTAAGGTGCACTCCAGTGTGGCTGAGGCAGAGCGAGTGAGGAAGACTGCAAAGAAATGAAGCTGCAGAAACGTGTGCTGTTTCAGGTGCTGATGCAGAGCTGTGTAAATGTATATGAGGAGAATCCCATTCTTGAAAATGGAAGCATTTTTGCTATCAAGGGTTAAACCAGCAGATTATACTTTAACATTTATTAGTGTGCTTTAGTGATACTGTCCTAAGTCCAGATATAAAAATCCACTTTGGTTGGGGTGATGGGAGAGTACGTGTGGAAAGAGAGGGTAGGGTCCTGGCAGTGAGGTGCTTTCCATAGAGCTGTGTGTGGGCATCCAGGCCTAGGTAGGTGGGTCCCGAAATAAGAAGGCCAAAGTTTGGACCACAGAGACCCAGAAGCAGTAAACCTGCTCTTCCCAAAACAGCTTTGAATCAGTGGAATGGACCAGGTGCTGCCTTCAGTTAGCCCACAACGGACTTTTAAAATAGTTATGTCTTTTAACATGCAATTTTAGAAAACAGTGCTTCAAAACTCTGATTTAGTGGACATCACTTAGGATGACTACAATTTTAAAGTTAACCTAAAACAACTTGAGTGAACAAAGGCAAAAGGACAATGTGAGTATGACAAAAGTTATGTAGATGTCTGAAGTCAGAGAGGCAATGAGTTAGATCAACTGGGAGCTCATTAACATACGGATTCCTGGTCTCTGCTCCTAGAGATTCTGATTCAGTAAGAGAGATGAGACCTAGGACATTGTTTTTGTTTGTTTAAATTACAGAATATAAGTGTCTACAAATTATTTTACATTTTTACATAAACATTCAGATTTCATGAAAGAATATACAGAAGTAGAGCATGCAATAATCCTTTATTTCTACTTTATTTGAACAGTAAATTTCAGGAAATGGATATTAACCCTTTATACTTAGACTGAGTGGGTATTCTGATGGACTTTAGAAGGTAAAAGAAATTGCTCTGAGTCCCTAAAATTTAGGAACGCCCTAACAATGTAGGGCAAGCGTATTTTCTCTGGTTTTCAGAGCCTAGCTTTGCAGAATTATTTCTTCTAGATTCCTAGCACTCTGTAGAAGGAATAACAGTTTACCCTTTGTTCTCTGTCACTCAAAGTCTTTTTGCAGTTGGTTGTGGGCAGCTTTGAGGGAGGAAGTCTTAGGACACAAAGCTTCTCTAGACTTTGTTTCTTCTTTGACTCTTGATTACAACAGATGATCTGAAGAAGTAAGACAAAGTCATTGCCGCACCCACTGCAAAGGTAGTGACAGCTGAGAAAAATCCAAAATTTAGTAGCACTGGTGTAGAATGTGAGCAGGGTGGATATGGGGCTGCAAGAGGAATAATCTAGCACTAGAATTCCCAAGGATCTAACTGTAAACTTCCCTTGGCCATTCTCAAAGAACCTAAGAAGCTTCACAACTCTGTTGGTGCTTTTGGTGATCCAAATATCCCCTAATTTTTTTTTTCCCCACACAGCCACCAGTGTAATCGAAGGAGCCAGGTCTGATTGTGCTATGGGAGCTGAACATCCTCCCCCTGCTCCCCAGTGGGCACAAGTCCCTGCTCCATCACAAGCCCCTCACAGTTTCTCCCTTGTCCACTTCATGCAGCCCCTCCATGCGGTGCTCCAGCAGATAGAAATGCCTCAATACCCCCTCTCCACTCTGTAGGTCAACATGTCCTGGGGAGAGGCTTGTCACCTGTCTCTCCACCAGGCATGCCCTCCCTCAAGGTTCATCTCAGCCTTAGCCTCTTCACACTTTCTCACCTCATCCCTGTAGACAGACTGCATCCCCTCCCCTGAACCCTTCTGTGCAGCCCACTGTAGTCTCTCCGTGAATAATATGAAGCACCTCCCATGTGCCAGGCATGGTGCCAGCGCCTAGCTCAGGTCCCTCTGCAGGAGGCTGGCACCCCACCTAGCTTGTGTGGCACCGAGGGGTGAATTACAGAGAGGCCCCCTCCTCCTTCTGGCTGATAGAGCCCTGGAGCCAAGGCAGAGATGTGTCTTATAGAGTCTCTACAAACTGTCACCATAAATAGTGACCCTGTAACCTGGTCCTGTGGATGAGAGGTGTTCAGATTGATGACACTTTTTATACTGAGCTCTTTGAGAGAAGTGTATGTAGTTTCCCAGCATCCAGTTTACACAATACTTATTCATAACAATTAGTGAATAGGATAGAATAGACTGAAATAATGTTCCCTAGAAGCTTCTTGTGTGTGCTGGGGCTGGGATGAGAGTGGAAGAGT